CCGAAGTTTCTGGGTTTGAATCTCATGAGGCGTGATCATAGATGTGCACTGTTGAGGAGTTCCATACTAGGACGAAACGATCGACCAATGCTTCCAGATTTTCCATGGTTGTTTAGCTTCAATGGACTCATGATTTAAACTATTGAAACTAGAAATTATTGGTTCACTAAGCTATTGAGTAATATTGTGGTAAGTGCTATTGATCTCGATAGATATAAGTAGTATATATCATCAAATGAAAGTGAAATGTCTGTTGGCAGAAGATTAAGCAAATCGAAATAAAGATAACGAGAACAGAGGATGATTAGTGTGGAAATGAAGGAGCAGTCAAGTCTGAAACCATTAATTGACATTTTGCAAATGATGAAGTTACTGTATGATTCTCAGATTTTACTAAGATGTTCTGTAACTTTCTGCACAAATACGTTCGATTATTCTCAGCTGTGTTCTCGTTCACTTATGAAGGATTTAGAAAAATAGAGTATACAATATTGATCATGTTTCAGTGCGCATCCACGATCGCGCATACGGACTCTGAACCTAGGACCTTCGGTTTTTGATAACAAACACTTAACATTCAGAACACTGAGCTGGTATCCAATAATGTTAATGTCTAACTTCAACTAATCCACGAAATTGAGCGACACATTAAATCTCTTTAGACGGGATCGTGGATACGCACTGCTAAGTAGTCTTACAATAGGAAGAAACGGCCGTCCAGTACTTCCAAGTTTTCCATGGTTGTCTAGCTTCAATCAACTCATGATCTCAACCATTGAAATTACTATTATCTCCACAAAACTCCATCTGATAATAAGTAATTTATTTGATAATAAGTAACAGCTTCAACATTTACTCACCAATTGAGTAAATGTTGAGACCGTTGTTAATGTGTGACTGACTCAGTTAGTAACATATCCATCATAAAAGTACCAAATCTAACATAAATGTATGTTTTTTAGTCTTCGGAAAAAAATAGATTCTAAATTATATCGTGTGTGTGTGTATGTGTTTTCAATGAATACAATTTCATATGTAATCATATTACCAAGGTACTTATAATAGAATAGTGAACATAACCTCCTTCAAATGAATCCACCTTTGTTAAATTGTTGCTTCGTAGATATCTTATTTTTAAATAAGTGTATGTATAATTAATTCTCCCTTTCAGGTTGAAGAAGCTAACACCTATGTGTTTCCATGATTTACCTAATACTAAGGATAATTTTGAAAGTGGAAAACATCCAGTTCTGTATATCACCTGATGTATTGAACACGAACACGATCGGGGGACAATCGAACTAGTCAGTAATATCTAACAACCATATATAGTAAATACTTAATTTGTAAAATGTCCATCAATTGTCTTAAAATGACTCAGACTTCCTTTGTTCTTACATTTCCATACAAATTGCATTCTGATTTTCATTCTTTACTGTTCGATCCTGTTGTCTCTCTACTACCAGACATTCTGTTCATGACTAACATCATATACTACTTATGTCTTTTATAAGTAGCACACACCACACTAATACAATACATGAAACATTGAAATTTCACAATTGTAGACAGAGAAATTAACATGCTTAGTTTATGTATTAAAAACGAGAAATTAATATAAACCTGGAATGATTAACCTATTGATAGATAGGTCATTTCCTATTAGATCATATGCACTAACTCAATACTACACGAAATAAGAAATGTATATGTGATTAGGTGAATTATTCACATAATCATGATGATTCAGTCAGTCATAATCAAAATATAACCTAGGACAGTAGTACATCTGTTCAACCTAGGATAGTGTATTAGCATAATAAGATGAAATTATGAAGACAAATGTGTTAGAGTAGTGAAAGTAGTAACCGTATTAGTGGTACTAGAAAGACAAAGCATAGACACTGTAAATAAATTTGTATAATAAAAACCTTAAGTATTTTTAGGAGAGAAACACACACACACACAATGAATACAGCTGAGTATTTAAGAAAGATTCTGAGCTATAAGAACTCAATATCACTAACCGCTAAACCTCAACCAGATAGCTTTTACCCTGTAGTGGCATTGGGCTCTAACAACACAATCTTCAAAGCTGAACATGAGATATCTGGGAAAATGGATATTCAACATTTGAAGCGGAGAAAAACTCAACGATAGAGAAAGCGGGAAAAAGGAATGAAATGAATTAAAATTAATCGGATGGCATAACTCGGCCTTGCAGGAGTGATCCTTATTGAATGTTATCTTATATCTTTTACTCATATAAAATATATTGTTCTATTTCCAGACTGAATATGTTCTACACCATATATTGGTAATTGTTACGATACGATGAGTCAATGTAGACGATGACATGACTTCCACATATGATCTTATAGATTACGCAATTATATCATGAGAATTAGGATTATTAGAGCAATACTAATAACAAAGTAGACCATAATTCTATAACCCATAATTATAACTAAGGTCCACCACCGATGATTTGATAAAGGAATCTCAAATGTTCTTCTCACTTTCTTCTAACCTACCTCTTCACTAACCATTGTCATTTGTCAAGATAGTTAGTGGTTGGAAATACGTCTCACATGTCCCAACTATCTAAATCGATGAAAACTACATACATTAATAAATGATTTTCTATATTCACTGAATACCTTTTATCTAACTCCTGTATATCTCTATCAAAACTACTCTAATATTATGTTAATAATATATTCATGATCTTCTTATTTTTCATATTTGACTAAATCAATGATACCTAATCAGATACTATGATCATAATATCTCAATAATTGTGATCATGAGTCAAGTGAAGCTAGACCACCGTGGAAAACCTGGAAACACTGGATGGTCGTTTCGTCCTATTATGAGACTCCTCAACATTAGTCTAGTTGGTTTTATATTTGACCAGAGATTAAAACTCACTTAAATTCAATGAGAAGATAGATATCATTATTAATTATTATAATTAAAACTGTTTTATAAATAAATATCTACACTTATAATTGACTCGTTAGTGAAACATGATTTCAATTATTAACATGATGTTTTGAATCCTAGAGAAAAAACAATTACTCGATGAAGAAATCAATTGGGATCCACTTGATATAGTTTACTTGAATCTTCCCGGTGCTGTTTAGGACTGTAATTGATCAGTCTCTTATTGGCATATCTGCATACTATGCGTATTGCCTTAATTCATAAGCATTATAAGCAAAAATGGATAACGGATTGATTCAAGTAAACTATACCAAACGAATTCAAATTTTATCCCATTACACATGAAAATGGCTATCAGGATTCAGTAACTAAGTGGATAACGCGATGGTGTTTGAAGTGAATGGTACTGGGTACGGGTCCTAGAGTGAATATCAATTTTCATATACAGGCACATCCAGCTGACGTGTCCCAAATAGGACGAAAAGCGCGTCAAGGATACCACTGCGAACCACTATCCATCAATACTAATCATTGTTAATAAGTGACTTATCTCAATGTAGGTGTAAATTGGAAATACACCGAAACTTATTCAGCGAAAAGGACCCAAAATAATTGAAATAGTCAATTTTAATATATGTAGATAAACACAAACGTAGTATCGTTTTGTAGAAACAAGAAACACCATTATTCGCTCATCATATCATATAGTTTCCACATAGTCTGGAAAATGTTTCATTAGAAAGTAATTCTTACCAATATCTCATGTCAATAGAAGAACCAATACATATTTCATAAGATATTGAGAAAGTGTTTCACTTTAATTTACAGCTTGTCAACATTATGTGCCAATAATCTCCTATTGAATTGTGTCTACAACCTTTGCTGAGGAGTTCCACAATAGGACGAAACGGCTGTCCAGTGTTTTTAGGTTTTCCATGGTGGTCTAGCTTCAATTGACTCACATGATCTCAATTATTGAAATTACTACAATCTCCATAAAACCCCTTCTCATAATATCTATCTATCTATCTATCTATCTATCTATCTATCTATCTATCTATCTATCTATCTATCTATCTATCTATCTATCTATCTATCTATCTATCTATCTATCTATCTATCTATCTATCTATCTATCTATCTATCTATCTATCTATCTATCTATCTATCTATCTATCTATCTATCTATCTATCTATCTATCTATCTATCTATCTATCCACACATCTATCTATCTATCTATCTATCTATCTATCTATCTATCTATCTATCTATCTATCTATCTATCTATCTATCTACATTCTATACATTATCAAAATTATTCATGAATGTTTCATCTTTTAAGTTACATGTTTGTATAAATTATTTATTCGAAAAATTCTAGAAATGATATAATGTTGCCATTCACCTGGCTTCACGCTGAACTGTATGTACCTTAGCTTAGTGGTTATTATTATAGGCTTCAATAGTTGAATTAGTACTAATCATATAAATAACTGTCGATTATAAAACAATACAATATGGTATATACTACTGATATCTATAGATATAAATAGTATATATCATCAATTGAAAGTGAAATACCTGGCAACAGAAAGTTAAGAAGAATGCATTTACTTATCCCTACTTATGTTCTCATTTACTATAATAGTAATTTCGAAGAAAAATATATCATCTTTTGAATGAAATCAGTCAACCTTCATTCCATAAACAAATAAACAGAAAAGGTCATAAGTAAAGATGGCTAATGGCTAATGGTGGAATCCAGGACATGCGTTTTGTCCTATTTGCCATACGTCAACTGGATATACCTACATCTCAGAGTTAATGTTCATTCTGTAAGTCAAATAGGATGGATTCCACTGTTAGTGTCATTATCCATCTTTGCTTAAAAAGTTTATGATTTAAGACAATATCTAGGCAATCCACACAGGATACACATTTACCAACAAGAGACTGATCAATTGTAGTCTTAAATAACAATGGAAAGATACAAGTAAAATAACACCAAGTAAAAAAGGGCATATTCATCTAACAGTAAAATGAATTAACTTACATCATTAATCAGAATCAAATAAATTAATCAATAAATGTATCCGATTTTCTTTTTTTTGGGAGGAGAATCTTGACATTTTTTTTTCTTTTTACATGGAATACATATTGTATATTCCTTAAATGTATTTTCATTGCCTCAGCAACACATACAGCAACAACCACAACAACCATAAGAACAACCACAGCAACAACTGTAGATTAGTAATATCATTGATTTTTACTTTTTATTTTTTGGAGGAGGGGCGGAAATTCTTCAATAAACAATAATATTAATCATAAATAAAGTATCCATATCTATTTGGACATAGTAACAACTTCTATCATGTAAAAGGATAACAGTTTATGATTTATTCCTTGATAAATATTAATTCCATAGAAATTAATTATAATTTTAAGTAATAGATTTTATATTTATTAAAAAAAAATAAATAAATAAATCGAATTGAATATTGCATGTGTTCATTCAATAGTTAACTTTATTACTGTTTCTATGTCAATAACCTACGCATATGGTCAACGTTTTCCAAATGAGAATATAATCCAATTGTTTGTATCTAGGTATGTATATATGTGTATCTATGTATCTATGTATGTATGTATGTATGTATGTATGTATGTATGTATGTATGTATGTATGTATGTATGTATGTATGTATGTATGTATGTATCTGTGTATGTATAATAAACGTAATTGTATAAATGCTTACATATTATGGATTAATTTGTTAATGTGTATGTGCGTATGTGTGAATGCATGAGTGCGCACGTGCGTGTGTGCGTTCGTGAGTGAGTGAGTGAGTGAGTGAGTATATGTGTCTATATTATAATCTTTATATCTAACTTATTTCTATCATTATTTTGTACCCTTAAATCAGACCAGGAAGAAGAAAAAAAACTGAAATGAAATAGAGTAGCCAATTTCTACTCAGACCAATAGAAAGAATAGAATAGAAAATATCTATGTTGATTTAAAGAGAATCTTTATAAAAAATAAAAATAAAAAAAATATATTTTTAGAGAAATAAACCAACCAATAATCAACACAATGATTATACACAACTATAATCATAATAATAATAATGAATGTAAAAAAAAACGGGCAAATGTAAGTTGTGTCTTAGATAACATATTTCCTTAGTTTAATCAATAAAATGAAAAGTTTAATATAAAGAGAGAAGTTAAATGAAGAAAAAAGAATAGAGATAGAGAGAGAGAGAGAGAGGGAGATAGAAAAGAGAAAAAAGAAAGAAAAAGAAAGAAGATATAACTTGGAGGCCAAGAAATGGAATCTGTTTAGTTGTGTTATTTGTTTATTTTTCTTTACTGGCTTAAGTTAAACAGATTACAATCTATCTATCTATCTATCTAACTATCTTTAAAATGAATATCTTTCAAAATATAATTACATAACATAATACTTATGATCTGAACTATTTAAATTACTAGAATATCCACACAACCCACCCCCCCTTTGTGATATGAATCAACATATGTTCACTAGTGAATGACTTCAAAAGGTATTTCTTGGAGTTCTAGTGAGAAGCAATGATCATCAATTGAGTTTAACCAGGTCTGTTGTGAAATAGTAAATCATTGAAAACAATAATGGATGTGTCAATCAATTTTATGGATTAGTTGAAGTTAAATATTAACATAATTGTATACTGGTTAGTTCAATGATCTAGTGGTTAAGCATTCGTAAGCGAGACTGATAGATCTTGGGTTTAAATCTTACGAGTAGGATTGTGGATGCACACTAAAGAGGAGTCTCATACTAGGGTGAAACGGCTGACCAGTACTACTAGGTTCTCCATGGTGATTTAGCTTCAAATGACTCATGATTTCAACTATTGAAGTTATTATAATATCCACAAAACTCCTTCTGATAATAATACTATATGTCACTCATATGACACAAGTTGTTAAACTATCACTTATACATTTGAGTATCTTAAAAGATCTAAGTTGAAATAAGCTATCGTAAATAAGTTTTTCTTTGTTTATTAAATACTCTTCATTGTAGTCTATTTTTCATTGATTATACAGCGAGATTATCATTTACAGATGAACCAATTCGAGTTAGGATAACAGGACTTGAATTTTAGCGTAAAAGGCATTTATCCATTTGACTAAATAGTATTTTGGCAATTTTAATTGATATCAGTTAGTGATAAAAACCCTAATCCTAATTCCTAACCCTAACTCTGATGTGTGCTACTTACATCAACATAAGTAGTATATAAAGCGGGTCAGGAATATAATGTTTAGCAGCAGAAGATTGAAATGATCAAGAAGGGAAGAATGGGGACAGAAAGCGATTGGTATGGAAATTCAGGAACTGTTGTTTATAACCCTCATTTAGTCGTAGTTACTAGGTGGATATTATCATGGTCTCCCCGATAATTCGTTTACTGCAGATAGAATTATGTTTCTTTACTCAATTGTTTTGAATTAATTGATCAGTGATCATCAAACACCTATATGTTCTTCATTATAATAAACTAAACACTGATTTCAAATACATAAGTGTCCCAGTTACATTTTTATTGGTAAGAGAGGAAGAGATGGCGATGTAGTGAACAGAACACGAGTGGGGGGGACGATCGGATACATTTGACACAATATTACAGGACTTGTTAATCAAATCTAACAATCATATAGTAAATACTTAATTTGCAAAATGTCCATCAATTGTCTTAATATGACTCAGACTTCGTTGTTCTTTGATTTTCTTATAAATTGCATTGTGTTTCCATTCTTTACTGTTCAATCCTCTTATCTCTGTGCTACCAGACATTCTATTCACGACTAACATCATATACTACTTGTGTCTATATAAGTAGCACACACCACAGTGAGACTATAATTTATGGAAGACCATTGAGCGACGCTAGACTGACTTTGAGATGGATGAATAACAATTGAGAAAAGCTGGAAAAGATCACCGAGGACAGGGTTGGATGGAGAGAATTGGTGGTCGGTCTATGCTCCTTCACGAGGAGTAACAGGCGTAAGCAAGTTAGTAAGTAAGTAACTACATTATGTATATATTCATATTCTTTTTCTCATAAACTTTTATTTCACCTATTGACTAATGTTATGCAGTTCTTAATTTATTCCCAATTTATTCATTGCAATCTCTCACAATCACAGCTACTTTTTGGCTTGATCTTATACAAATGTTATTTCCTATTTTATGGTTTGATATGATCTACTTTGTTTGTATATAAACCAAGTATACCTGATTCATACAGTAGAAGCTATGTTCTAGGCTCAAAAGGACAAAAGTATGTGGAAGGACCAATCAAGACTTGTAGTTGAATCTAGGCTATTCATATTGATTAATACTTCATTGATTTAGTCAATAAGTCAGTGTTTTAATTAACGATCTTATCACGCGATATAATGAACACAGCCAAAAGATACAATACAAAATATAAAAAATCAAAGTTTACAATCTAGTCGTCAAAGTAAGAAAATATCGTTGGGTGTTAGGATAAAATAACGAAATATTGAGGGTTTTGCAAACTTCATTTAAAGTATTACAACATGTTCCAGTAAATGACTAGTCATTTAATTCAATTACAAGACGTATTTAGAACTCAAGAAGAAACTCATTGTTTTATATATTTATATTCATGTCACTCAAGGTTGACATAAGTTATTCAGCTGGGCATATCACTGAAAGAATATCATTTCTTCTTCTTCTTCTTCTTTCAAAACTATGAATACATCTTGGTATTGGTTAAAGAAAGCATGAAACTTAAAGTACTAAATCATTATTTTATAAGATAATTCAAATTACAGGAATATATTGATACAATGTGCTAATCAAAGATCGACTATATGATAAGTCCAAGCGATTAGTCAAGATTTGATTTCCTTTTCGAAAGAATAAGAAACATTCAATTAGTGGAGAATAGTGACTTATATCTCTAAGGTATACATACATACATACATACATACATACATACATACATACATACATACATACATACATACATACATACATACATACATACATACATACATACATACATACATACATACATACATACATACATACATACATACATACATACATACATACATACATACATACATACATACATACATACATACATACATACATACATACATACATACATACATACATACATACATACATACATACATACATACATACATACATACATACATACATACATACATACATACATACATACATACATACATACATACATACATACATACATACATACATACATACATACATACATACATACATACATACATACATACATACATACATACATACATACATACATACATACATACATACATACATACATACATACATACATACATACATACATACATACATACATACATACATACATACATACATACATACATACATACATACATACATACATACATACATACATACATACGTACATACATACATACATACATACATACATACATACATACATACATACATACATACATACATACATACATACATACATACATACATACATACATACATACATACATACATACATACATACATACATACATACATACATACATACATACATACATACATACATACATACATACATACATACATACATACATACATACATACAAACAAACAAACATACCTGCATACATACAAACATACATACATACATACATACATACATACATACATACATACATACATACAAACAAACAAACATACCTGCATACATACAAACATACATACATACACATACATACATACATACAAACATACAAACAAACAAACATACCTGCATACATACAAACATACATACTACATACAAACATACATACATACCACATACATACATACAAACATACATACTACATACAAACATACAAACATACATACTACATGCATACATACATACAAACATACAAACAAACATACATATTACTTACTTACTTACTTACTTACGCCTGTTACTCCTCGTGAAGGAGCATAGGCCGCTCACCAGCATTCTCCATCCAACCCTGTCGTGGGCAATCCTTTCAAGCTCTTTCCAATTCTTATTCATCCTTTTCATATCTGCTTCTATTTCCCGACGTAATGTGTTCTTTGGCCTTCCACTTTTCCGCTTCCCTTCAGGATTCCAAGTTAGCGCTTGTCTCGTAATGCAGTTTGATGATTTCCTCAATGTATGTCCTATCCATTTCCATCGTCTTTTCTTAATTTCCTCTTCAGCTGGAAGCTGGTTGGTTCTCTCCCAAAAAAGGCTGTTGCTGATGGTATCCGGCCAATTGATGTTGAGTATCATGCGTAGACAGCTATTGATAAATACCTGTACCTTCTTGATGGTGGTTGTTGTAGTTCTCCAAAACAAACATACATACTACATACAAACATACAAACATACATACTACATACAAACATACATACATACATGCATACATACAAACAAACAAACAAACAAACAAACATACCTACATACATACATACA